TCATGCTCTATATCTGGGACCAAAAGTCTTGTTTACTACGAGCTGCTGAAACTTAGCGATTCCATTACGGGCGATCGGTATCGACTACAATTGATTCGTTTGAGCCGTGCATTGCAAGAAAAACGGCCGGAATACGAGCAAAGACATGATAAAGTTATTCTTCTTCATGACAACGCTCGGCCTCATGTCGCTAAAGTTGTAAAAAAATATTTGGAAACGCTCAAATGGGATGTTTTACCGCACCCGCCGTATTCTCCAGATCTTGCTCCTTCTGATTACTGGTTGTTCCGAAGAATGCGATTTAGCAAGTCACCGGTTCACTTCTTTCGCAGAAATCGAAAATTGGCTCCAAAATTGGATCGCTTCCAAAGAGTCATTTTTTTGAGATGGAATTCGAAAATTGCCTGAGAGATGAGAAAAAGTAGTAGGTAGCGATGGACAATACTTTAATTGATCTGTTCGTTCATTTTGTTTTGAAATAAATGCACAAAAAACGGACCGAACTAATTTGTACTCCCGATATGTTGTTGAGGTCATAATCCTGAGTGACCTTCAGAAAGTTTTAGTTGGTGCTCGTCCTTTGTTTAAAAGTTATTAACAAAAAAAGTTTTAAAAATAACATTTTATTTCTATTGTACATATATAGTATTATTATTAAAATACTATTTTATACTTTCATTTATATTTAACATGATTGGATTAGGGTAGGGTTAGATTATTATATACCCATTAAATGTAAATATTCGGAAAGTTTAATGGTATGTAATAACCTAATCCCAACCATACAGTACAGTACAGTCCTGTTTTAGGGTACGGTCAACGTGAATAGTCAAAGTCTCGCTGCAAACGCTTTGAAGCGTTTTTTAATTGGTCAGTTTGTAATATTCTTTCTTCTAATTGGTCCATCAAATGCTTCAAAGCATTTGTAGCGAGACTTTAACCACAGTCATAGTAGAAATAAAACGTTATTTTTTTCATTGTTAAAGCAATGAGGGGAGGGGGGGGGGGAAGATAGGATAAGAGTTGCTTAGCATAGAAAATCATTAAAATATTCTCACACCAACAGCAGAAGCATTGTTTTCTTTGAAACATCCGTGTAAAGAGAGATACAATCGTCAAAATCATTACGTAAGTAAGGAAAGGAATAGAATAACTTTTAATATTATAAGTATAAAACAAGAATAAATCGTTATTTTTTCAAATTTCTTTTAGAGATATGTTCCATGCAATTCCTATAAATAAATAAAAATTCAGAATTGAAAAGCATTCATTTTAACATTCGTGAATCAATATTTCTGAAAATCTGAATCCATTTCAATTCATTTTAATCCATTCTCGTTTGCTGGAACATTTTTACAAATAATTTAGATTTGACATAAGTTCTGTGCATCGTAAATAACATAACCGTACGTTTTAGTACTTTTTAGTACTTGTGCGATTGAAAAAAATTTGTCTCTTAAGTCGCGCCAACATAGTTAAAGCCTTGAATAATTCCTTTTAAACAATATATTTTACAACTTTCTGATAAGTCTTATTAAATGTTCGGTCTCCCTCCCGCTTTTGAAATATGATTTTAATTTTTCCATCTTTTCCTCTCCATACTGCGCTGATATGGCTCTCTTGGAAAGATTCGTCTCATTAAGTTATAATTGCTAAATTCAATCTCCGAAATGACTTGACGATTGTATCTCTCTTTACGGATGGTTTCAAAGAAGACAATGCTTCTGCTGTTGGTGTGAGAATTTTCACTTGATCTTGATTTTAATTTAATGCATTGTCTTCTCTCTCAAACAAATATCTGTTTTCTCTACTGAAGCATGGGCCATCTTAAAAACCATTTTCTTTTCCAATGACAAGTTTATTATTTTATCGGTTTATTATTTTCTCTAAATCTGTTCTGGATGCTATTTCTTCTCACCATATGCAACGCTAATTAATTTGATTTATCAAACGCTATTTGCTTCTTGCCAAGGAATCAAATAGAGATTCTAGATCCCTTTATTACATAATAAAGATATTCATGAAAACGAGATTATTGACTGGCTGATGAATATACAGGGTGGGCTATTTAAAATTTGGAATTTAATTTGGCTCTAAAAAAAAAACGCATGAATATTTTTCAAAGTTATGGCTTTATTGGAAAGATAGTACATTGCCATTAAACATGAAATACAATTTCATTCAAATGACTTCCACGGCTGGCTGCACAATACCCTATTCTATCAACCCAATTTTTCAGTACATTTTCCATTGTGTGGGCGCGTATTTCATCGATGACAACTTTGATTTCATGTTTTTCTTGAATCGTTTCTGGCTGGTTAGCGTAACACTCATCCTTGACGGTTCCCCATAAAAAATAGTCCAGTGGAGTCAAATCGCAGCTGCGAGGCGGTCAATTGACATCAGCATTTATGCGGCTGATTATGCGATTTTCGAAGATAATGCGCAAAAGATCGATTGTAGTGTTGGCTGTGGCAAGATGCGCCGTTCTGTTGAAACCAAATGTCGTCTGTGTCCTCCTCTTCAAATTTGGGAAGCAAGAATTCGTTTAGCATGGGTAGCGCTCGCCATTGACAGTGACGGCAGCTTCTTGCTCATTTTCGAAGAAAAATGGCCCAATGATGTTGCCGAACCAAAAATCACACCAAACAGTCACTCGTTGTGGATCGACTTCTCCATGACGACATGCGGATTCTCTGACCCCCAAATATGACAATTCTGCTTGTTCATAGCCACCGAGATGAAAATGAGCTTCGTCAGAAAAGATGATTTTTTGGTAAAAATGCTCATCTTCAACTAAGCGTTGTTCAGCCCATTGGACGAACCGAAAACGCATCGGATGGTCATGCGGCTTTTTGCACTAATTGAACTTTGTACGGCTTCATACCGAGGTCTTTATTCAAAATTCTTCTCAAAGAAGTGCATGAAATGTTCAAGTTTTGAGAACAATGGCGAGTTGATGTTGATGGTTGTTCAAGCACACTCTGAGCAACAGCAGCAATATTTTCGGTTGACCTTCCTGGATGAGCACGTGAACGAGTTGCTTTATCCAATAAGGATCCAGTTTGCCGAATTCGCTTCACAAATTGATCCACAAACTGCATTGAAGGCATTTCTTTTCTACCAAATTTTCCATATAAATTTCTTACAGTTTGGGTTGAAAACTCACCATTCTGGAAAATAAGTTTTCAATATTTCCCAATTTTGTTCAAGCATATAGCGACCCATTTCGTAAATGTCAAACAAAAAACTAAATTTCTGATACGTCATAAATGTTATTACGCCTTTCAAACTCAAAATAATCGGTAGTTGAAATTCCAAACGCTAGATGATCCACCCTGTAAACTTACTTCAAAATGCCCGAATTTTCAAGTATCCTCTAAAATCTAATGAGTCCTTCAAAAATTTTTTCAGAGTTCATCTAGATGAAGATTTCAGAGTTAAAGGACAATTATTATATCACGACTATTTTTATAATAACGAAACGAAACCCTGGTTCCACTGCCTGCCTCTTAAGCGTGAAGAGATCGTCTTAATTAATATAAAATAGGATTCGCTCCAATCACTATATTTATATAGAGTGAATCAGAGTCGTTAAATCAATTTTTTACCCTAGAGAAAATTATCTTCATATCTAATTGATTATATTAACGTGCGTACAGTCGATAATTTTCTCATAGGACAAAAAGCTGATTCAATGACTCTAGTTCACCCTATATAATATATGCACCGCAAAAATGTAACTGAGTGCTTGCCCTTGCGATGATTCGCGACAAGATATCAATCATTTGTTTTTTACTGCCCATTAACTATTCCTAAAATCTGGTCTTTTGAGAGCCTTTCTGAAGAAAAATTTTCCTTTCGGTCCTATCCTTGAGCCATGATCCGATTCACGCTCACAACGCTTAAAAATTATTTCGTCCTTATTGTTTTATTTGTCAAATATTAAACGAAGGCAAATGATATTTATGAGCGTTGTCAACATGAATCGGACCACGGCCTTGATCTTCACTTCATTTTAAAACGTCTATCTGTTAAACTGTATTACATTTCTTTTAGCATTTTTCAAATCAGTCAATCATCGATCTTTCTTCATAATTCTCTTTTTCTCGAGACTCTCCCTTTTGTTTGTTGAATGGTTTGAGTCGATTTCCTGCAACCATGTAGCACTGTTTCAGTCTTCACCGGAGCTCTTGGTGATTGCTTTTGTTCTAGCTATAGAAGTTCTAACTATTCTGTTTCGTAGAAGGAATGGAGATCATTTTTGTGCGAAGAAGAAGAAAAAGTACGATTGAAAACGATAAAACCTGAAGAGCATCTTCGTCATATATATTTATTTTACTGCTTTAATTCGAAGAAAACTGCTACCGATACATCTTAGAAACTTATTTTGAATCTACTCCACTTAAAACGTTTCAATACTGATATCGATTTAAAAGAGGCGATTTTGATTTAAGAGACAAAGAACGTTCAGGTCAATCAAAAAAGTAAATATATATAATATATGTATATGCATATTTCTGGAGCGATTAAATTATTTTTGTACACGGGTGTCCAATTCTATCTGCACGCCTCTGGATTAAACTGGTATGCAATAAATAAATGAGAAAACAAATATTCACGGTCAATATACTGACGCAGCAACCAGTTTTGCGTCAAACTATTCAAGTAGAAGGGAGAATAAAAGACTCTACAAGGAATCTCAGTGAGTCAGTATATGCCGCGCCGTGCATCAACCAACTTAATCGATATATTTCGACTAGATTTTATTTTGCTAAAGTAAACTGTCCTTCGGAAATTGTGCTTGTTAAAAGAGCGAAAAAAATAAACGAAAAAAAACGAGAGATCAAATTTGATGAATTGATGCAGGTGGTCAAAATTTGGAGAAGATAAGGAGATTTATTGTGTATTTGTGTATGTGTGTGTGTGTGTGTGTGTGTGTGTGTGTGTGTGTATGTATGTATGTAAAAAATTAATTAAGAATTAATTCAAAGATAGCAATTTAATAAAAATGATAGAATATTTTCCATTCGCAAAATTATTTCTTTTGACAATACTCTTCACAAATGTTTGTGAGAATGCCGCTTATAAGCCTCCAGAAGCTAAGGTGGAGCCCCTTCATCCCATGGGATTACGCATATCTATTCCTGGTAAGATAATAAAATTCTAATTATTAAATAGTATATGCATTTATGTAGGATATTAGGTACTTAACAAATAAATAATTCAGTTAAAGTAGATATACGGAGTATTTCAAAATTCGCGCCCGCGAAGATATGATATTTTATGCTAAAAGAAACAACTTTTTCTTTTTGCAAAATTGTCTACAGGAAAAAATTATTCTTTTTAGCAACAACTTTTTCCTTTAGCAGAATTGCATTCATAAGTAGGAGAGCAGATTGAAGTTAATAAATAAGCGCAAAAATTATTTATCGGATGTAATTTTGTTAAAGGAAAAAATTGTTTGTTTTATCCTAAAGTATCACGTCTGTGAGTGTGAATTTTGAAATACCCTGTATGTAAATATAATTTTGCAAGTTGATTTATATTAACAGAACAGAATTGATTTTGTAATTTAAATTACGACTGTTTTGTGACATTGCATATTATCTGTTCAGCAAATAAATTATAAAGGATGTTTAAATAACGATAAAACTCTCGCATAGGAGTAGAGCGGGTTAAACTGAATCAAAAAATCCTCTTTTGCAATTTTCGCAATAGTTAACAAGATATTAATTATAAAGATAATAATTAAAAAATCACCGAATATTGATTTTCAATAATTTTTTACTCAAATACTATCAACTAATACTTTATAGAAAAGTAGCAAGAGACAAAAATTATTATTTTTTTTTTTTCATAGAACTCTAAGAATTTTTTTAGAATTTTTTATCAATTTTTTTATACTACATTTTCTTGATGTGTGTGTGTGTGTGTGTGTGTGTGTGTGTATGTATGTGTGTGTGTGTGTATTGACAACTATTTTTATCAACATGAACAATGCGGTATTAAAAAATTCTCAGAACTCTATGAGAAGAAAATTAATAATTTTCGTCATTTGTTTTTCTGTAAAGCTGATAGTAAAAAATTATTCAAAACCAATATTCGGTGCGATTTTTAGTAATTAATAAATAAACTATTGTGAAAATTGTAAAATGGTACAGGACTTTTCAACTCAATTTAGCCCGCTCTATCTTTATGCGAGAGTTTTATTGTTACTTACTAAACTCTGTATATTATAATCAAAAATTGGAAGATTGCATTTTTTTAATGGGAATAACATTTTTTCTATAGATGAACATGGTATTACATTGGTAGCTTTCCATATAAACATCAATGAGGATTTTGATGGTTTAGAAGCAGGACGTTTTGCAAAAGATATTCTCAAAATTCGAAATGGACGATGGACTTTCCAAGACAAGCAGGTTCAATTAAGACGAGATGATATTATCTATTATTGGGTTCATGTCGTATATGAGGGCCTAGGATACAATCTGATTGATCAATCACATCGGGTTGTTGGTAAGTTTTTTATAAATATATACATTTTTCTATTTATATTTAATTACAAATAATTAATTTTCTTATTATGAACAAATCTCAACAATGACAATGCAATATCTTATCATCATTTATTTATAATTTGTTTTATTTATTTATGTTTTAATTTAATTTATTTGAAGAAACAATTATTAGATATGTAATTGTTCGCAATTTTTTAAATCGCTTTTTTTAAAACTTTTGTTTTATTTTCAGATTTCTTCAACTCTGACGGCACTCGGTACATCGGCGACACAACTCAAAGTTCACAGAACTGCATGACAACGTCGACTACATGGATATCTGAGAAAGGCGAACAACGACAAGCTTGTCCAGGTCAACTCATTTTTGAGGATAACTTTGATAATCTCAATAGCACAAAATGGAATGAGTGGAAACGTTTTTCCGGTTCGCCGGTAAGATTACCGCGAATGCAGATAATAAGTTTATTTAAAAAACTGTTTTTCGTTTAAAATTATTATTTTTGTCATACAGAATCATGAATTTGTCATCTATATGACTAATGATGTAACAGATACGAGTGATGGATTTCTGCGCATTAAACCTGTCTTACTTGATACTAAATATGGCATAAACTTTGTATCGAATGGAAGAATAATACTGGAAGAGTATGTGAATAATTAGAGCATTAGGAAGATAGAAGATTAAAATTAAATATTTAATTATTTTCTTTTTTTAGTTGTACGGGCAGAATTGGTACAGATGATTGCCAACGTCAAGCTGCTGGTTCATACATCTTGCCTCCTCTGATCTCTGGACGAATTAGTACAGAGGGAAAATTTGAATTTCTCTTTGGACGTGTCGAAGTAAGAGCCAAATTGCCACATGGCGATTGGGTATTTCCTGGTAAGTTTCTAATTTTTTATCATCAATTTTTTTTACTTGAACTATTGTAAATTTTTTTTTTGTAGTGATAACATTGCATAACGCCGAAAATACATTGGACAATACATTGGAATCCAGATCGCATCGCGAGATTAGGATTGCATCCTCGATGGGCAATGAAGAACTAAGGACTGGCAGTGGTGAGACCATCAACAACCGCATACTAACTGCAGGTGGATTGATCGCGTCCTGGAATGAAAGTAACGCGGAAATGTTGCCCAAAAGGCGATCGAGCGAATCCTGGTCCAAAAATTTCCATATCTTCGAAATTGAATGGAATGATAGCCTTATTAAAGTGAAGGTCGATGGAGTGCAGTACGGGGAGCAAACCGTAGACATATCATTTGGCAAATCGGTATTAAAATTGTATTATATTTTTCTTTGTTGATAGAGACTTGAATCATTTGTTTTATTAGATCTCGTAACAATAAAAATGTGATACCATTTATTTTTATTGCAGTCATATTTGACTCTGGGTGTAGCCGTTGGAGGTCTTCATGAATTTGAGGATCACATCGTAAGTGGCAGATATATCAAACCTTGGCGAAATGTCGAAGCAAAGGTATGTTATTAATATTTAACATTAAATTTTTTTTTAATTTAAAGAGTTTGAGAGAGCTATGCCAAATAAGCTAAAGATTTTAACAAATGAATGCAATTAGTATATTATTCTTTACAGGCATTGTACAATTTCTATCGCGCGAAAGATAAGTGGTATCCTACATGGGATACAACAACAGCGCTTGTAGTGGATTATGTGAAAGTGTGGGCATTGTAAATACAATACTTTCGTCTGCATGAAAACGTATCAGCATAACACATATATTTTTATAACTTTGGATATATTCTATACACGTGTTTTTCTTGCTAAATAACACGTTTATGAGTTTATCAATGACAACATTTTACTTGATTCATATACAAATAAATAATAACGCACAGACTGATTTGTACTTGATGATTATTTTGTATTCTAGAGTTCTGGCTATCCTACTCCTACTACTAGTAACTTAAATTAATGTAATTCTACCGACTATTCGAATGCACTTGCGCTGCGAATCAAATTACTTCTAAAGGGAGTTGGAGGAGGTATTAAGAATGTATTAGGCACATGTCGGCTATATAGTAGAACATCGGGACTAAAACCATTCCCCAATTGTTTAACAAGCCACTCTCCGCGATATCCGAAACGCTGTTGGTATACTTTTGCAGCGCGTGGTCCATCCTCGGGTCTGAACTCGATGTGCATGGGCTCCTCGGTATTGAAAGACGCGAGACGTAACAGACTCGTAATACCGTTCCTGGTCCATTCCTGGAATTGCTGTTGACTGGGCCAGAATTTTGGAAAAATTGAAACATTGTTTCCGTTGCTGAACAATGCTTGCAACCATGCGAAGAATGACGAATCGAATGTTCTGGCGTTTTGTATCAACATTTGATCACTGCACCATACATTTGTCTATTCAAGATAACAATTACATTTTCGTTTTTATTAATAGAAAATTTAATTGAATATTTAAATGAATTCTACTAATTCAATATATAATTAAATTACATTTTAAATACAGGCTCATTTAATAACAAGTAAAAATATAATTACAAAGTAAAATTTGTTTTAATTGAATCAGAGAAGTAAATAAATATATATGTACGTTTTTCTATGTATTTAATATAGATCACTTACCGCGCAAAGGATGACCATTAAAAGTATTTTATCAACGTGCATGACTTGTCGAAATTGTGCTCATTGCAGAAATAACTACTGGAAAATAATGAACGACTGGGACTCCATTCGAATTTCGTCTGGCTTTTATGTTCTCCCGTCTCATATCCCATAGGAAATTCGTGATTCGCATTAAGTATCGATTCATGAATAACTAATTGTCATTCACAAGAGGATCTAATGCGACTTTTTAAATTCTCGCGCGTCGTTAAACGCGCGATCGAGTTTTTACTTTCACTGCCGGTATTACGATAGACTGCGAATATTTTCAACATGTATAAGTAGGATTACAGAATAAATTTCATAGAGTAGAGTCATTCCGCGTCGATAACGATACCATTCCTGGAGTGAACTGAGCCATGTGTAAACTGAGACATAATCAAATATTGGTTGGTTTAAAAAAATTATAAAAAAGTTATCAAGTGTAATCAAGTGATAAAAACTTTGAGATCGTTGTAAACAAAAAAATGTTTATTTATCACGAAGTATCTAAGATAATTTAGTGTTATATGTATTAATAAATTTATATCAGTAATAAAAAAAAATTAATATGTAATAATTCAAACAATTAAATTCTTATATATTGTAACGATAGTAATTTAAATTATTCGTTTTTGTAATAATCTCTTTACTTTTTCTGTGCATTCTATTATAGATCATTATGCTGATGACATTATTACTTCATAGTGAAATTATTGTGTCAGTCACAGATGCTACAGTCTACAGATTCTTGCATGATTTTCTTCAAAATAACGTTGCAGGCATACCTCTTGTGCATGAGGTAAATGTACATATATATAATATATATGACATAATTTTAATTCACTTATTTTTCTTGCTTTACTTTTATCTAGAAAACGGAATGGAACTTTGATCCAGAGATTAGCAAGCAAAGAAGAATTCAATATGAGAAAGAAAACGGACGTTTTGGAGAATATGCGATAGCAAAATTAGGAATGGGCATCGGATATAAAGGTCCTTGGGGAGATCCAGTGAAAAGTTGAAACATTAAACTAATAAGTAAATATATATTTTTTTAACATAATATAGAAATTTTGTTGACGTAATGAATACTTGATCGAGTCCGGCGTAAATAATTTACTAAACTAAAAAAAGTGAATCTTTTGATTGATTATTATAATATTTATAATTACAAATACTCTCACGAGACAATTTTTTACACTTACAATTACGTTATTAATATAACAATAAATGTGCATGAGATGATTAAAGAAAGGTAATGTTTTCTTCTCTCATTTTATCACAAATTTTGACAAATTATCTCAAATCCATTTTGATAAAATATTTAATTAAACTTTGTGTGTGTGTGTGTGTGTGTGTGTGTGTGTGTGTTATGTGTGTGTTATATACATATATATTAGCATTATATATCTCAATATGTTTTAATCAATAATCGGTGCAATTAAAAATAATTAGAAGTTTAAAGAATATGATTTTTTCTCGATGTTTTAACATTTTCTTAATTACACTTTAACACATACATGCAATTTGCAATCAAGAAAATGTTACTTTCAGTGACACTTTAGTGAAATTTTATCAATGCTTTCAAAACGTATATTTTTCGGATGTTGCGAAAATTTCACGATCGATATTTCAGATGTAGCAATCAATGTATGTAGCACAGCGTATCTCAGAACTTTCACTTTACAAGGAGAAAGAACTGGAAGTAGTAGGGGAACTAAGAAATTTAGACTGAGTTCTGATACGAATCTAGAAGGTTAGCGTACAGCGATCAGTATTATCTTGTAATATTTGTTAAATTGATTAGTAATTGGTTAACGATAACGATTAATAATTGTTTCATCAAAAGAAACTTTAATTTTACATTATTTTCAAAATTTCTTACTATTAAACAAGAAAACAAATTTCACATCTGGTAATTTATCATGGCGAATTTTTCCTCTGTAAGTAAGAAATGATAAGAAATAGCATTACTATAGACAGTGAGTACAAAAAGTATTCGTATAGGAAAAAATATTTTTTAAAAAAACTTTATTTAAAAAAAATAAATATTATCCAACGAGAAATGAGTCATTGAATTGATGTCGATATAAATATCGGTGACTTCAATATCAATTTGACGTCGATTCGACGTTTAAGTTGACGATCATTTCTTTTTGGATAATTAACAATTTATTCATAAAGAATAAAATAGACTGGTATGTTTTTTAAAATTATATATACCAAAAAGATGTATTAATTATATAAAATATATCTGAAAAATAAGCGAAAATTAAAAATTGTATTGTTTGCTCATTGAATGCTCAAAAAGTATTCGTATAGACGAGAAATTTAGCTTTTAAAATTAGGAATACATGCAAAGCTCATTTGTTTATATTAGAACAAATGTATTCGTTGTATAAAATTGTTAATTAATGTTTATTTTCTACAAATAAGATTTTTATTACGAATACTTTTTGCTCTCACTATAATTGCAAATATAATTCTTTTGCAATTTAATAAGTACAATTATTTTTCTTGAATATCGAATAAATTAATTGAAAATTTAATTAATAACCGTCATCTGACTACTTTTTAATCGCTAAGTTTTAATGCATTGCGTCTCAGTTGAATTTCTCTTAAAGCTCTGCTCCTTAATATTAAGCAAGTATAGTCATTTTATAAAAAAATTATACATTACATGAAAAATAAAGCAAATTTTTTTTTATTTCATTATCATTATTTTATGAAATTTTATTCTCTATTTGCAGTGGCTGACGATGATAGCGTTAACAACAGTTGCTATCTTTTTTTTCACTCTAATCGATAAAAGTACAGCTATACTCGCGGAACCTCAAGCACCTAATTTTCAATATTTCGAACGGTAAGAGAAATAAATATCTCGATAAAGAATAAAAAATTGGAAAAAATTAATAAATTACTTCAGCATAAATATCTGTACGATTCCGATTGTTCTTGTTATTATGTAGAACTTCCTAAGAAAATCTCTTGACTAAAAAATGATCTTTATTTTTTTAGACCAAAATATCGCTATCCTTATTATGACGAAAATGGTAAAGGAAAACTGCTCTATGGTTATGGTGGACCGGAATTATATCAATACAAAACTTATAGTCTTCTTGAAGGAATTCATTAAATGATCATTTTTGTTAAATTCTTAGAAAATTGAATATAAAATATCTGTATACATATAACGTAACATGTATGAACATGGTGTGATTAATTCATTAATATATTGAAACATTAATTCAAATATATCTGTATAATGTAATATACGAGTATCTTTTCGATGGCACAATTGAATTATGTTACTCGAATATAAATTAGCTATTATGCTATTTGAGGAAATAGTATATTCGTTGTTGGTGCAATTTGCATTATATTACTTTGCTATCGAAAGGATACGTTCGCAATCGTGGAATTAATAAGGAACATTATAAGAGCATTTATTTTCGTCGATTACAACTGTATAATAAATGCAATCGATTTGTGTATGGCTGATTTTAATTACAATGTGTTTACCTCTGTCTTATTTTTTACTCGGTAAAATGCTGCATGATTCGCTTCTCCTTTGAACGTGAATTAACTGACAATAAGGGAACAAATGGTAAAATCGATACTTGTTGCTGAGTAAGCTTTAAAAACTGTTACAATATTTAGAAAAAAGTGTAAGATAGAATGATTCAGTGCAAACATTGCTTTGGACTGCAGTCTCTAAGACTATATTACAGACAGAATATATTAAGTCATTGATCTATCAAACGTGCATGGAATGTGCAGTAGCCACGCTATTATCTATGAAATAGTGACTTATAGTCTCTTTGTAGATACAATAATCAAATATAATCTAAAATAGCTACAGCCTATTACATTGTAACCTATTACATTGGTACCGAAATGTTTTTTCTGTCCTTTTTCTTTTTTACGTGCACAATGTACTGAGAAAAATAGAATCGACAATTTGTAAATGGTAAAAAAACTGCAGTCACACTGCGCAATCGATACATTACAACTGTCATTGAAAAGATATTATTCTTCTATTTTATGATAGAGGTGCACATGTGACGAAGTTACGAATGTGTGCAAGCACAGTCGAGCAGATGTGAGTTAGCGAGACGTAATATGTCAATTATAAACGAACGCGATCGACTGCATATTGATGTCGAGCGATAATTGATGCGCTTATTCGTTATGATCTTTGTCCGCCTTGCTCTCGCCGGCAGACTGTAACTGTCATACAAAGTCCATTTCGAACTTGTTATAATACTGGCCATTGACGCGACGTCTCTGCAGTTGTCTTTCAATGAACTTCTTTATCTCACTAATGACGAAGACACTCGATGTCAACGCCGCCAAGAATAGAAGATCTGAAAATTAAACATGTTAGTGTATTGTAAGAAGATATACACCGATTATTTTTAACGTATCTCTAATATACCTTTTGCAGTAAGAGCTTCAGTTTGAAATATTCTCTGCAATGGAGGGAAATAGATCACAAGCATTTGTCCGATGACAGAGAGCGTTACGGCTACCAGGAACATTTTATTACTCCACAAACCGATTGTGAATATGGATTTCGTCTAAAACAAATGAATTTCAGGCTGCAGTAATATTTTTTCTTGATATAATAAGATATGAAATAAAAATATGAAATCTCACTTGTGATCTACAGCTAAGAGCATTGAACATGTCAAAGAATACGAAGCAAGTGAATGTCATGGTAGTATCTCTCGCGGTATTCCCATTAACCATCTGGAAATTAAACACACACACATATATATATATATATATATATATATATATATACAATCAATAATTATATTTTATGTGTGTGTGTGTGTGTGTGTGTGTAAACTGATTTAAAAATATTACCTCTCTATTGTATACCCATAAAGTACCAAGAATAATGATGCTAGCGGATAATAAGACGTTAATTATGAGATGACGCGTGATCATTGGCTCCTTTGTATTTCGTGGCTTTTGCTTCAAAACATCCTTGTCAACCGGTTCTACTCCAAGACTGTATATAGAAGAAAATTGAATATACTGTGTGTAGTAAATATTTAATAAAACGTTAAATTAAAATTATTTATTTAACTTACCTTTGAGCAGGTGGTCCATCCATAATGATGTTGATCCATAGTATTTGCATAGCATTCAAAGGATTCGGTATACTCATCAATGTTGCAAGAGCAATCAGAGAAAGCGCAGCTATGCTAGTACTCAACTGAAATCTGACAAAATTGCGAATGTTGTGAAAGATTCCCTTTCCCTCTTCGATCGCTGCGCTAAAATCATATAATAGATAAAGATTATAATCACAGATTCACATACGTTAAAATTGTTAGCAAATATATTAGTTACATAATAGTTCCAAAATCATCGTCAACCAAGATCATGTCGGCCGCTTCTTTACATACATCAGTGCCATTTTTACCCATGGCGATGCCTATATCGGCCTTTTTCAATGCAACTCCATCGTTTACGCCGTCACCAGTCATACCTACTATGTTACCATTCCTCTGTAAGGCCTTTACAATACAAAGTTTGTGCTTTGGTGTTACTCGATAAAATACACTAACACTATTAATGCACTGTTCCAATTGATGTTCGGACATCATATCGATCTCGTCTCCCGAAAGCAATCGACTATGAAGTGTGTCCAAGCCAATCATGCTAGCTAAAAAATTATTAAATTTTTATAACTTTAATCATAAAAAATTATATCCATTGTATTAAAAAATGTAAACTTTTTACACATGATATACTATTTATTTATATACTATTTATTTATATACCTATTGCAGCTGCAGTTTCTTTAGCATCACCAGTCACCATCTTCACTTTAACGCCACTATTTATTAAAATGCTGATAGATTCGCGCACATATGGTCTTGGTGGATCACAAATACCAACCAAGCCAACATAAATTAAATCTTGTAACGAAGAACCACGTGCCAGACCAATCACTGTATACATAAATAACCAAATTGGTAATTACAGAAAAATATAATTCTTAAATTTATTATCCATTTATTATAGTTTGTGAAAAAAATAATAATACCTCTCAATCCTTGTTGACCAATATCATATGCTTCTGTCAAGAATTCCTGATCTTTCTTTTGACTAAGGGGATACACTTGACCGTTTTCATAATATTTTGTACATTGTGGTAAGATTTTCTCCAAAGCACCTTTCACAAAGTATATTTCCTGTCTATTCTGAAATATAGAATTATAGCATATTTATTTAACATTCCAACATAAAAATCTATAAGTAAGAATAATGTGATCCTTTGCTTCATTTAAATAACTAATACGATCCTTTGCTTCATTGAAATTTACCTCGCCAAACTTGGGTGTACATTTCACAGCCATCATTTTTTGCTCAGAAGAAAATGGATATTCTTGCAATCGCAAATATCTATCAGCGACACCATACATTCCGAATTTCATTGCCACTGCTATCAGCGCGCCTTCCGTTGGTTGTCCCAACAGAATATCATTTTGTATGATAGCGTTGTTACAAACGCAACCTATTTCCAGCATGTTACTGATAGCAGCATGTGCGAGATCAGGATTATCACACTTCCGTATATGTATTTCTCCCATCCCGTTATATCCCGCTCCAGTAACATCCGCGATGTAACCTTCCGATGTAACGAGAATCGTAGCGGTCATCTCGTTCTTTGTAATTGTGCCGGTTTTATCAGAACATATTACATTTACGCAGCCTAAAAAGAAAATAAGCTCTCTTCTTACGTTTGAAGTTTTAGATAAGAGATTAAAAAAATATATTTTGATAGATAAATTAAATTAATAAGAAAAACAACTTGAATAAAATAAATATTTCATATTTTTGTTAACCTACCGAGAGTCTCAACGGTTGGTAACTTCTTTACAATAGCTTTTCTCTTAACCATTCTCATCACTCCCAATGCCAGTGTCACAGTGACGACGATAGGTAAGCCTTCCGGTATAGCCGCTACTGCCAAGCTTACACCAATGGTAAACATCTCAAGGATAGCCTTACCTTGGATCCAGCCCAGCAGCATAATGATACCGATAATGCAGAACGAATAGAAGGACAGCTGAGTACCTAAAATGTCCATGCTTCGCTGTAGTGGAGTCTTTGGTGCCTCCTCAGCCTGCATCATCGAGAAAACCTCCCCAAATTCACTCTTTTCTCCCGTATTCACTACAATTCCCTGTATCGCGCGATATTATAACATAAGTTGATAGTAGCGCAACCATTCTCAAGAATTTTAAATATAGTTTGAATAGAATCTACCTTGCCATTCCCGCATCGTACCAAAGTGCCCATGAAGGCAATATTTCTCTTTGACGTCAATCCATTAGTCTTAAGCAAAGGGGCTGTCGACTTTTGCGCCGGTTCGGTCTCTCCAGTAAAGCTACTCTCATCAATCGCCAGATCTATAGCTTCAAATATTCTGATATCGGCAGGTACTCTATCTCCAATATTTAAATATACTATATCACCAGGAACTAAATTACGTGCAAGAAATGTCTCTACACGGCTCTCTCTTAAGCTGGAAACAAAATATCAGGACATAATAGTAATGTAAAAGTATCTTAACAATTAAGTAAAATTAAGAAAATTAAAAAAAAAATGTTAACAAAGTTAAAAATTTCATGAAGAATGTTTTGACAATTATTCTTAGTCGGGATTTCTTTAATTGTTAAGTATAGAGGACTTTACGAAATTTCAGAGAAGTAAGTTTCACCTTCTATAGAGTGCAACGACATATTATATCTTCTTCACTAAGAAGGGAAAGGAATGCTGCACGTATAAAGGATTAGTATATCCTCCAAGGACCATACTTCTAAAGAATTGTAAATTTAGATACATGCTGCCTCAACATTGAACTAATATTCATCATTATTATATAGCGTATGATTAATGAGGCATTTAATAAAAAGCATAAATCTATTTACCAGTGGCATATTGGTGGTACCAATTTATTCAATTCTTCTAAAGATTTCTCTGATCGATATTCTTGTACAAATGCAACTGTCACCACTATTATGATAGCCTATAAAAGAACATATCGCACACTTAAGTTAGATAATACTTACCAAAATTCATGAGATCAATGGACATGCATGTGTAAGTCTACTTACTACAGTAATACTGACAGCGTCGTCGAATTGCTTCATACATACGCTGACAAATGCAGAGGCAAGTAGAAGAAGAATCAATGGATTCTTGAACTGAAAAAAGAATATAAATTCAATTGAGATCGTGAGACAAATATAATTAAATTGTATTATATGTTGTTACTAATATCTGTATGAGACCTGTTACAACAAGAAACACATACCTGTTCGATATATTTTTTCCATGGTGGATCTTCTTCCTTTACAGTGAACTCATTGAAACCTGTTAATTGCCTTCTATGATCAGCCTCTTGCCATCTGAGTCCTGTTCGTACATCCACGTGTAATCTAGCTGCTACTTCCTCTGCTCCCAGACTAGCCGATTCAG